GGAAATGCACCGCCAGGAAATCCGCCACGAATCCCAGCAGTTGCTCACGCCCCTGCATAAGATGCGCGACATGCGGCATAACTGGCAGGAGAACCTGGGCATCAAGCACGCGCCGCTGTGGGGCGTGGCGGCGGTGACGCTGATGGGCTTCCTCACTGGCAAGGGCGCCAAGGGCGGCAGTATCAGCAGCGTGACGCGTCTGGTGCGCCTGGGTGCGGGTTTGATCCCGTTGATCAAACTGGCCATGCAAGGGCGTTCGCGCAAAGACTGAGCTGCGCCGGCCCTCGCTGGCTGCATTCTTGCTAACAGAATCGGCCCGGCCTCTTGTTCACGAGGGGCGGGCCTTTTTTTTCGCCACCTCTCTTAAGGAGGCCTTGTGATCGACGGGCAACCGCTCGCCTGCTTCCAGCCTTTCATCGATACCGCCACCGGCCGCATTGCCGGCGTGGAAGCCTTGGGTCGCCTGCGCCTGGCTGACGGTCGCCTGCAGTCCGTAGGCCCGCTGTTCGCCGACCCGCGTACCTCCGGCGTAGCCCTGCGACGACTCGACCGGCAGCTGCGCGATAACGCCCTGAGCCGGCTGCATGAGGCGCCTGAAGACTGGTTCCTGAGCCTGAACATCTCACCGCGCTGGATCAACCGCCTGCGTCCGGGCCAGCCGTTGCCGAGCCTGAAACAGATCCACAGCCACGGCGTGGACCCGCAGCGCATCGTGTTCGAGATCACCGAACTGGGGGGCGACATCAGGCGCCTGGCAGAGGTTGTGGCGCGCTACCGTGAGGCGGGCGCGCGGATCGCAATCGATGACTTCGGCGCCGGCTATTCCCAGCTGGACCGGGTGCTCGCGTTGCAACCGGACATTCTCAAACTAGACATGCGTCTGTTTCAGGAGGCCGCGCGCGGCGGGCCAAGCAGCGAGGTGGTGCGCGCGTTGGCACAAATGGCGGAAAAGACCGGTTGCTGGATCATCGCCGAAGGCGTGGAAACTGAAGCGCAACTGAACTTCGCCCTGGAGTGCGGCGCCCGCTACGTACAAGGTTACTTGTTTGCCCAAGCCCAGTTGGACTGGTTCGCCACCGACGCCTTCGTGCCACGCTTTGCTCAACTGCGCACCGCATACGTCCAGCAGAAGTTGGCGGAACGCGGGCGCATCATGCAGTTGCGCCAGCAAATGGCCGAGCTGATGAGCATCCTGCAAAGCTGGGCCCAGGCCAAGGCACCGTTGAGCCAGTTACCGCAATTGCCCGCATTCCCCTGGCTGCTGCGCTTTTATCAGTGCGACCGCCACGGCACCCAACTGACGCCCAATTTCGAGTGGCGCCAGGACGCCTGGCAGAGTGATAGCCGCTACCTTGGCCACAACTGGTCGTGGCGGCCGTACTTTTATCATCTGCTCGCCGAAGGTTGGGAGGAGCGCCGCTTGACGCTGTCTTCGACCTACCGCGATGCCACCACCAACCAGTACTGCCTCACCGCCGGACAATTCTTCGATAACGGTCAGCGCTTACTGTTAATCGATATCGACGCCGCCGGCCTGTAGATTTTCGCTTGCCCCGCCGCGGCGGAACCGGGAAGCTGGGCGGGTCATTCACCGCACGGAGAGTACCCGCCTTGGATTGGCCCACCCTGCTGACCCGCGAACGTCTTGGAAAACCACTGCACAGCCCGGAAGAATTGGGCCGCAGCCCGTTCCATAAAGATCACGACCGCATTATTTTCTCCGGCGCGTTTCGTCGCCTGGGTCGCAAGACGCAAGTGCATCCCGTGTCGAGCAACGACCATATCCACACCCGTTTGACCCACTCGCTGGAAGTCAGCTGCGTCGGCCGCTCCCTGGGTATGCGCGTGGGCGAGACCCTGCGCAGCGCCCTGCCCGACTGGTGCGATCCCAGCGACCTGGGCATGGTGGTGCAGTCGGCCTGCCTGGCCCATGACATCGGTAACCCGCCGTTCGGGCACTCAGGCGAAGACGCTATCCGCCACTGGTTTCAACAAGCAGCCGGCCGCGGCTGGCTGGACGACATGAGCAGCGCCGAGCGCAATGACTTCCTCAACTTCGAAGGCAATGCCCAAGGCTTTCGCGTGCTCACTCAATTGGAATACCACCAGTTCGACGGCGGCACGCGGCTGACGTACGCCACCCTAGGCACCTACCTCAAATACCCCTGGACTGCCCGCCACGCCGACTCCCTGGGCTACAAGAAGCACAAGTTCGGCTGCTACCAGAGCGAGTTGCCGATTCTGGAACAGATCGCCCACAAACTCGGACTGCCGCAACTGGAGGACCAACGGTGGGCGCGTCACCCGCTGGTTTATCTGATGGAGGCCGCGGATGACATCTGCTACGCCTTGATCGACCTGGAAGACGGCCTGGAAATGGACTTGCTGGAGTACGCCGAAGTCGAGTCGTTGCTGCTCGATTTGGTGGGCGACGACCTGCCGCAAACCTACCGTCAATTGGGGCCGCAGGACTCACGCCGGCGCAAACTGGCGATCCTGCGCGGCAAGGCCATCGAGCACCTGACCAACGCCGCGGCGCGCGCGTTCGTCGATCAGCAGGATGCTTTGCTGGCCGGCACCCTGCCCGGCGATCTGGTCGAACATATGCACGGTCCGGCCAAACGCTGTGTGTTGGACGCCAAAGACATGGCGCGCAAGAAAATCTTCCAGGACAAGCGCAAGACGCTGCACGAAATCGGCGCTTACACCACCCTGGAAATTCTCCTGAATGCGTTCTGCGGCGCCGCACTGGAGCAACATGGCGGGCGCACGCCGTCCTTCAAGAACCGGCGCATTCTCGACTTGCTCGGCAACAACGCACCGGACCCGGCATGGCCACTGCACACGTCGTTCCTGCGCATGATCGACTTCATCGCCGGCATGACCGACAGCTATGCCACTGAAATGGCACGAGAGATGACCGGTCGCTCCAGCCCTCAATAACCGCCCGATCAAGCCGCCTGCCGATTGAGCAGAATCTGCCTACACACGGAACAGAGCGGCCTGATCGAATTCGCACAGATACACGGGGAATAATCGCGCCCGCTCCGGGCACAGTCATCGAACAGCTCCTACATGCCCCCCTTCGACGCTTGACTCATCGTGTACTTTTTATGCCCAGTAACCCTCTTTGCATCCTGTTGGTGGAGGATCATCCTTTTCAACTGCTCGCCACTCAGTGTCTGCTTCGCAGCTTCGGCTTCGAGCGGCTGACACCATGCGAAAACGCCGCGCAGGCCGTCCATCTGATGACCCAGGCGCACATGCCTTTCGACATCCTTCTGTGTGATCAATGCCTACCCGATCTACCGGGGCTGGAGCTGATTGAAATCGCCAGCCGTCAACGCTTTATCAACGCCGCCATCCTGCTCAGCGGGCTGCCCATCGCAGAGCTGTCGGCGTTGCATGTTCAGGCACTGGAGCGTGGTTTGCCCATGCTCGGTTACTTGTCAAAGCCATTGAACAAAGAAGAACTTTCACAGTTGCTCTTTCCATTACCCGCCTTATAAAAACAAGTCTTGCAACCCTGTAGACCGACCAAGATCATGACACCTAGTCCTTCTAATCACCTGATGCCTGGATTAAACCGAAATAACAGCGAAACGTTGTCATCTCGCTTCACAAATCCTTAGCAACCAGTAGGCTATTACCTTTTTTGATGTAGGAACTTTCCTGTTTTATATTTGCTCCCCCTCCACTTCATGCTCCTGCATCCGCTTCTGAGCTAATGTGCCCGCTTTATTTGCACTTGCACGGAAACGTAAACATGAACACAGTTTTTATAATTGATGATCATCCGGTTATAAGGCTCGCCATCCGAATGTTGTTGGAGCACGAGGGCTACAAAGTAGTGGGCGAAACCGATAATGGATGCGACGCCATACAAATGGTCCGTGAGTGCCAACCGGACCTGATCATTCTGGATATCAGCATTCCGAAACTCGACGGGCTTGAAGTGCTCTGCCGCTTCAATGCAATGAACACTTCAATGAAGACCTTGGTGCTGACGGCTCAATCTCCAACCCTGTTCGCCACCCGCTGCATGCGCTCGGGCGCCGATGGCTATGTGTGCAAAGAAGGGGATCTGAGCGAGTTGCTCAGCGCCATCCGTGCCGTGTTATCAGGTTACAACTACTTTCCCAGCCAGGCTTTGAATGCCAATGGGGCGGACACCACGGCTTCAAAAGAACTTGAACTATTCAAAGCGGTAAACGATCGCGAACTGATGGTATTGCAACTTTTTGCACAAGGGCGGACTAACAAGGAAATCGCCAAAGGTATGTTCTTGAGTAACAAAACAGTAAGCACCTATAAAAAGCGGCTCATGCAAAAACTTCAAGCCAAGTCCTTGGTAGAACTTATCGAGATGGCAAAACGAAACGCGCTAGTGTGAGAAAGCGGATGCCCAGGCGTATAAAGGACTATCTGATTTTATTGAGTGCCGGTTTGTGCTTCAGCATTGCCGTGCCTGCCGCCCCTCCAACGGGCCCGGAATATTTCAATTTATTGAGTCGTGCAGGCTCGGTACAACTGGAAACCCACCTGAACAAGGCTCAACGCCAATGGCTGCAGAACAAACGCGAACTGGTACTGGGCACTGCGGCCCCTGACTACCCCCCTTTTGATCTCACCTCCAGCGGCCGCGATTACGAGGGCCTCACCGCCGACTACGCCGGGCTGCTGGCCAAGGCGCTGGCATTGCCGATCAAAGTGGTGCGCTACCCCTCCCGAGAGGCGGCCATTCGCGCCCTTGAGTCCGGGGAGATCGACTTGCTGGGCTCTTCCAACGGGTTCGAAGCCGCCAACCCCAACCTCACCCTGTCAGAACCCTACGCGGTGGATCAACCGGTGCTGGTCACCCGCGAGGGCGAAACGCGCAGCCTCAGCGAGGGCTTGGCGGGGATGCGCCTGGCCCTGGTCTATCACTACTTGCCTCTGAGCGAAGTGGAAAAGCTCTACCCCAACGCGATCATCCGCGCCTATCCCTCTTACCAGAATGCGTTGAATGCAGTGGCGTTCGAACAGGCGGACGTGTTTCTCGGCGATACCATTTCCACCCATTACCTGATCAACAAGGGCTACCTGAAAAACGTGCGCATGGCCAATTTCGGTAAGCACGAAGCCTACGGCTTCAGCTTTGCCCTGCCGCAGCACCAGCACATCCTGCTGAGCATCGTCGACTCCGTCCTGATGGCTGTGCCCATCTCCGAGCGAGAAACCATTGCCAAGCGCTGGAGTGCCGGCAGTGACATTCTGTTGACCGATCAGAAGCTGCAACTGACCCCGCGCGAGGAGCGTTGGCTGAAAGACAACCCAGTGGTCAAAGTCATCGCAAACGAAACCTTCGCACCGCTGACATTCTTCGATGCAGACGGCAACTTCCGCGGCATCACCGCCGACCTGCTGGAACTGATTCGCCTGCGCACCGGCTTACGCTTCGAGATCCAGCGCGGACGCAATGTGAACGAGATGATCGAGCAGGTGGAGGCCGGCGAAGCAGATGTCATCGGCGCGATCGCCCCCAGCCTGCAACGCGAAGGACAGTTGAACTTTACCCGCCCCTACCTGGAAAACTCCTACGTCATGTTGACGCGCAAGGAAGACCAGGCGCCCACCAGTCTGGAGCAAATGGCTGGCAAACGCGTGGCGGTAACTCAAGGCAGCCCGCCGATCAAATTCCTGCGCGAGCACTTTCCGCAGATTCAACTGGTAGAAACGGGGGACACGTTCAAGGCAACCGAACTCCTTGCACAAGGCCATGTGGAGGGTGCGGTCAATACCCTGGTGGTCGCCAACTATTTCCTGTCTTCACCGATATTCCAAGATAAGGTCCAGACCAGTTTCAGCATTGGCACCACGCCGGCCACCTTTGCCTTGGCAACGTCCCGGGGGGCCACCGAACTCAGCTCGATTCTCGACAAGGCTCTGCTCAGCATCGCTCCGGACGAGCTGGGGGTGATCAACAGTCGCTGGCGCGGCTATACCGCCGCCTCCGACAGCTACTGGCGCAATTATCATCAATTGATTGCGCGCATCATCATCGGCACCGGCCTGTTGCTGCTGATTTCCCTGACCTGGAACGCCTACATGCAGCGCCAGATCAAGCACCGCAAAATGGCTGAGCGCGCTCTCAATGACCAGTTCGAATTCATGCGCGCCCTGGTCAACGAAACGCCGCACCCAATTTACGTGCGCGACCGCAAGGGCCTGCTGCAGACCTGCAACGACAGCTACCTGCAGGCGTTCGACGTCAAGCGCGAAGAGGTGATCGGCAGGAGTGCGATGCAGATCAGCACCGCCATGGCGGAAGAGGCCGCGCAATACCACGCCGATTATCAGCGTGTGGTGGCTGAGGGCAACCCGCTGATCCTGGATCGCGCCCTGCACATACGCGGTAAAAAACTCACGATCTATCACTGGATCTTGCCGTATCGCGATTCCGTCGGCGAAGTCCAGGGCATCATCGGCGGCTGGATCGACATCAGCGAGCGACGCCAATTGTTCGACGAACTGCGTGCCGCCAAAGAACGTGCGGACGAGGCCAATCGCGCCAAAAGTACGTTCCTGGCGACCATGAGCCATGAAATCCGAACGCCCATGAACGCAGTGATCGGCATGCTCGAATTGACGCTCAAGCGCGCGGACCAGGGCCACCTCGACCGCCCAGCCATCGAAGTGGCCTATAACTCGGCCAAGGACCTGCTGGAGCTGATCGGCGACATCCTCGATATCGCGCGGATCGAATCCGGCCGCCTGAGCCTGGCGCCGGAACGTGTGAACCTGCGGGAAGTGATCGAATCGGTGGTACGTGTGTTCGACGGCCTGGCCCGCCAGAAAACCCTCAGCCTGATACTGGAGTTCAAAACTGACCTGGACGACACCGAAGTGTTGATCGACCCGCTGCGCTTCAAGCAGGTGCTGTCGAACCTGATCAGTAACGCGATCAAGTTCACCGAGCGCGGTCAGGTCAAAATCAAGGTGGACGTGCTGCCCACCGATCTTGCCCAGCAAGTCGAGATGAAACTGGTAGTGGAAGACACCGGCATCGGCATCAGCCGCGACGATCAGATGCGCTTGTTCGAACCCTTTGCCCAAGCCGACAACTCTGGGCAACTGGCCAGGAGCGGCGCCGGCCTGGGTTTGGTGATCTGCCGCAGCCTGTGCGCCATGATGGGCGGGCAATTGAGCCTGAGCAGCGTGCCCATGGTCGGCACCCAGGTGCATGTGAACCTCAAGATGACACGCCTGCAGCCTGAGCTGGCCGAGGACGAACACCAACCCGAAAGGCCGACCACCGCGCCAGTGCTCAATGTGCTGGTGGTGGACGATCATCCGGCGAACCGCCTGTTGATGTGCCAGCAACTCGGCTATCTAGGCCATCAGTTCACCGCAGCGCAAAACGGCGCGGCGGGTTTCCAGGCCTGGCGTCAGGAGCGTTTCGACCTGGTGATCGCCGACTGCAATATGCCCATCATGAATGGCTATGAACTGAGTCGTTCGATCCGCGAGTACGAACAGCGTGAAGGCCTGACGCCCTGTGTGGTACTGGGCTTTACCGCCAACGCCCAACCCGAGGAGAAGCAACGTTGCGCACAGGCAGGCATGAACGATTGCCTGTTCAAGCCCATCAGCCTCACGGCTCTGGAACGGCATTTGGCGCAGATCGGCACGCACCCTGCCGACCAGATCCTAGACCTCGGTAATTTCGAGGCCCTGACCGGCGGCGATCCACAGATGAGCCGACGCCTGCTGGAAGAACTGCTCAACAGCAGCCGCCAGGACCGTCAGGAGCTGATCGCCCTGATGAACGCGCAGGCCTCCTATGAGCAGATCACCGAACAGGCCCACAAGATCAAGGGCGCCGCCCGCATCGTTCAGGCCAATGCGCTGGCGTCACAGTGTGAAACCCTCGAACAGGCCTGCGGCCGCGATGATGATCGGTCTTCGATCGACGCCGGTGTGAAGGCCCTCGAAAAGCTGATGCTGGAGTTGGAGAGGATGCTGCAGGTGCAGCTTCACGCGCTGGATAACCCATAAGGGGGCGGGTCCGCCCCCTCTGGCATCAGCAGTCGGTCAAGCGCAGAAAAATCGCCGCCAATTGCTCGATGCCCTGCTGGTCCTGTTGGGTAAAACGGGCCATCAAAGGGCTGTCGAGGTCAAGAACACCAATCAATTGGCCGTTCTTGACCAGCGGGACCACCAGCTCACTGTTGGAGGCGCTGTCACAGGCAATATGCCCAGGGAAGGCATGCACATCCTCGACGCGCTGGGTTTGGCGCGAGGCTGCTGCTGCACCGCAGACGCCCTTCCCGAACGGAATACGCACACAGGCGATCTGCCCCTGGAACGGGCCGAGCACCAGTTCTTCATTGCGATTGAGGTAAAAACCAGCCCAGTTCAAGTCATCCAGTTGGTTGAACAGGAACGCAGAAAACTGGGCACTGTTGGCGATAAAGTCGCGCTCATCGGCTAACAGCGACTCCAGCTGCGCGCAGAGCATGGCATAGCCATCCAGGCCTGTACCGGCGTGTTGCAAATCGATCATGGTTGACGCTCCAACAATTTGAGGCCCACCCAGTAACGGGCGAATTGATACGCGCAACGTCCGTTGCGGTTGCCGCGCCCGGTGGCCCAGCGCACGGCGAGAATATCGAGCGCTTCGTCACGCTGCCATTGCAAACCGGCTTTGCTGGCCAGTTCGCCGATCCAATGCTCCACCACATCCAGGAAATGTTCCTGGGTGAACGGGTAGAACGACAGCCACAAGCCAAAGCGGTCGGACAAGGCAATCTTGTCCTCCACGGCTTCGCTGGGGTGCAGTTCGCCGTCCACGCGCTTCCAGTTATCGTTGTCGCTCTGGTTTTCCGGCACCAAATGGCGACGGTTGGAGGTGGCATAGAGCAGCACATTTTCCGGCGCCTGTTCCAGGGAACCGTCCAGCACGCTTTTAAGCACGCGGTAGTCGCCCTCTCCGGCCTCGAACGACAGATCATCACAGAACAGGATAAAGCGCTGCGGCAGTTTGAGCAGTTGCTCGACTACACGTGGCAGATCGGCCAAGTGATCACGCTCGATTTCGATCAGGCGCAAACCGGCGTTGGCATGCTGGGCCAGCAGGGCACGCACCATGGACGACTTGCCGGTGCCGCGCGAACCCCACAGCAGCGCATGGTTGGCGGGCAGGCCGTCGAGAAACTGCTGAGTATTGCGCGCCAGTTGCTCGCGCTGCTTGTCGACGCCGATCAAGTCGGACAGGCGCATGTCCAGACTGACCTCCAGCGGCAACAGAAACCCGGTGCGCCCCTCGCGTTGCCAGCGCGCGGCCAGGCACTGGTTCCAGTCGATGGCCTGTCGGGGCGCTGGCAGCAGGGGTTCCAGGCGGGCAAGTACTGCATCGGCCCGCTCAAGAAAGGCATTCAATCGAGAATCCACGATTATTCCTCTGGCAAGTTCTTGCAAAAGATGGCGTATTGGCAACCCTGCGACAGACCGCAAGGGGCTGCGTATAAAACGATTCATGCCGGGCAGGCCAGAGCCTGTGGATGTTCAGCTATGCTTGCCGGGCGAAGGGAAACGTGAAGTGGTTCAACACTCGATGGATATCAAGTTCGCCCACCGCTTGTCTTATAAACAAGCCCGATTGACTGTGCTGGTCGGTTTCGTCTTGGGAACCTTGCTCAGTCTGATCCAAATCGGCATTGATTATGCCAGCGAAGACGCATCCATCAACCGTGAAATTCGCTCGCTGATCGAAATCAGCCATAACCCGGCATCGCGTATTGCCTACAACATCGACGCCGAGCTGGCGCAGGAACTGACCTTGGGCCTGCTGCACTCCCCCGCCATCATTCGCGCGCAGTTGATCGACAACAACGGCCTGGTGCTGGCCGATGTAAAACGGCCGCGCAAGGAAAGCACCTACCGCGCCCTCAGCGACCTGATGTTTGGCGCCAATCGCCAATTTGAGGACCGGCTCTACCTGAGCCATATGCCCAACGACTCACTGGGTGTGCTGCGTCTGGACGTCGATACCTACGCTTTCGGCAGCCGCTTCCTGCGGCGCGCCGAGATCACACTGCTCAATGGCTTTGTGCGCAGCCTGCTGCTGACCGGCATCCTGTTGGGGCTGTTCTATGTGATGCTGACCAAACCACTGGTACGCATCATTGGTGAATTGAGCACGCGCAAACACACGCGTCTGGACTGCCCGCCCGGGCACGAAAATGACGAAATCGGCGTACTGGTCACCGTGGCCAACCAACAATTCGAAAACATGCAGACTGAAATCCAGCAGCGCCGCCACGCCGAAGACCGGCTGACCGAATACCTGGGCCAACTGGAAGATATCGTCTCCGCTCGTACCCTGGAACTCAAGGCCAGTAACCAGCGGCTGAGCCAGTCCAACGACGAGTTGGAGGCGGCCAAAATGCATGCCCTGGGCATGGCTCAGGCCCGCGCGGCGTTCCTGGCGAACATGAGCCACGAAATCCGCACCCCGCTCAACGGCTTGCTGGGCATGATCGCGCTGTCGCTGGACAGCAGCTTGAACGCCGAGCAGCGTCAGCAACTGTCCATCGCCCACGATTCGGGCAAAGTGCTGGTGGAGTTGCTCAACGATATCCTCGACCTGTCCAAATTCGATGCCGGCCAGTTGGAACTGGAGCGCATTCCATTCGATTTGGGCGCGCTGGTGGAAGACACCGCCAACCTGCTGTCGCAGAACGCCGCGCCTAGCGTAGAGCTGACCTGCCTGATCGACCCGAGGTTTCCGGCCCAAGTGCTGGGCGACCCGACGCGCGTGCGGCAGATCGTCAGCAACTTGCTGTCCAACGCCCTCAAGTTCACCCGCTTCGGGCGCGTAGATGTGCGTCTCAGCGTTCAGGAGGGCAAGGTCCACATTGAAGTCTGCGACACCGGCATCGGCATCGCGCAGGAAGCTCAGGTAAAAATTTTCCAACCGTTTACCCAGGCCGGCGCCGGCATCACTCGCCAGTTTGGCGGTACGGGCCTGGGTCTGGCACTGACGCGAAACCTGTGTGAAGCCATGCAGGGGCGCTTGAGCATCAGCTCGGAGGTCGGCTTTGGCAGCCAATTCTGCGCCGAGCTGCCGCTGCCGGCGCATTTGCCGGCGATGCAGCCGCCGCCGCTCAGCGGTGATGTGATCGCCATCACCAACGCCAGCAGCGGCCTCACGGAACTACTGACCACGCTCCTGCCCTACTGGGGGCTGACGCCACGCTGTTACGCCCAGGACCATGATTTGAGCGGAGAAACCCCGGACCTGCTGATCACTGACTGCCCGGAGTGCCTGTTCCGACTGCGGCCGGGCATTACCGCACCGATTCTGGTGGTAACGGCGTACGGCAACTTTATGCCCAGCGAAGAAGTGGCCGCACTCGCGCCGTTGCAGCAACAGGCCCGCCCCTTGAGCCGCAACGCGCTGTATCAGATTCTAAAACGCACCTTGCGCAGCGATGGGCACCTGATCCTCGATCCGATCCAAGTGGAGTCCGCGCCTGTAGCGCACCGCGCGCGCATCCTGTTGGTGGAGGACAATCCGGTCAACCAACTGGTGGCCAAGGGCATGCTCAGCAAGCTGGGCTGTGAGGTGGTCGTGGCCGGCCATGGTGGCGTAGCGCTTAAGTGCCTGGAAGAGCAACACTTCGACATGGTGCTGATGGATTGCAATATGCCGGTGATGGATGGCTACGAGGCCAGTCGGCAGATCCGCAGCAGTGGACGCTGGCCGGACCTGCCGATCGTGGCGTTGACCGCCAATGCTATGTCCGAAGAACGCGAACGCTGCCGCGCAGCCGGGATGAACGACTACCTGGCCAAGCCTTTCCGTCGCGAAGAACTCAATGCCCTGCTGGATCTGTGGGTGCCGAAGACGACAGCGCTCTGATCTGCCCCAGCAATTGGTCCAGGCCATCGCGCAGGTCGTCCGCCTGGTTCAGGTCGATGCCGCTGTCGCACAACAGTCGCGTCTTCACCTGGTAAGTCCGCTCGCGCAGATGCACGCCGGCCTCACTCAAGCTCAAATGCACTTCCCGCTCATCCCGGGTACTGCGCCGCCGCTGCACCCAAGCCAGTTGCTCAAGACGTTTGAGCAACGGCGTGAGGGTGCCCGAGTCGAGCATCAGACGGTCCCCCAGCGCCTTGACCGTAGGCTGCGCCGGAGGGGCGTCATGCCACTCCCACAGCACCAGCATCACCAGGTATTGCGGGTAGGTCAGGCCCAATGGATCCAGCATCGGCTTGTAGGCACGGGTTACCGCCCGCGAAGCCGCGTAGAGCTTGAAACACAATTGGTTGTCCAGGGCCAGGGACACAACGGGTGGGTTAGTCATTTGAGCAGGGCTTCGATCTCTTGGGTCAAGTCCTGAGGTTTGGTGGTCGGGCCGAAGCGCTTGACCACCTGACCATTGCGACCGATCAGGAACTTGGTGAAGTTCCATTTGATGCCCTTGGAACCCAGCAAACCGGGGGCCTGCTGTTTCAATTGCACAAATAAAGGATGGGCATCGCTGCCATTGACGTCGATTTTCTTGAACAGCGGAAAGCTGACACCGTAGTTCAGCTCACAGAATTCTGAAATCGCCCCTTCGTCACCCGGCTCCTGCTTGCCGAACTGGTTGCAAGGGAACCCCAATACCACCAGCCCCTGATCCTTGTACTGTTGCCAGAGTTGCTCAAGGCCCTTGTACTGCGGGGTGAAGCCGCATTTGCTGGCGGTGTTGACCACCAGCACGGCCTTGCCGGCGAAATCGGCCAAGGTCTTTTGCTCACCCTTGATGGTGGTGCAGGGAATACTCAGCAGGTTGTCGCTCATGGCTGTGCCTCGTGTCGGGGGAAGAGCCCCCAACATAGCGAGCGATTCAATTGCACACAACTTAATTGAGCGCATTGATCATGCTCGATCACGTTTATGACTGGGAGCGAGCCACCTCGCCACTCACTCCCGACGCGCTACCTACTCACTTCAACGAGGCACCAGATCCAGGCACACCGAATTGATGCAGTAGCGCAAACCGGTCGGTGGCGGACCATCGGGGAACACATGCCCCAGGTGCGCATCGCACTTGGCGCAGGTGACTTCGGTACGGATCATGCCGTGGCTGACGTCCCGGATCTCGATCATGGCGCTGTCGGCGATCGGCTCGTAGAAGCTGGGCCAGCCGCAGCCCGAGTCAAACTTGGCCTTGGAATCGAACAGCGGCTCATTGCAGCAAATGCAGTGGTACACGCCGTCCGTTTTGGTGTCGTTGTACTTGCCGCTGAAAGGTCGCTCGGTACCTTTGAGGCGACATACGTTGTACTGCTCCGGATCGAGCATCGCTTTCCATTCTTCAACGGTTTTCTGCAACTTATCCATCGGTACACCTCGGCAACTGAAAAACCCTGATCTGTGTCTTTTCCATGGATCAGGCGGCACGTATGATTGCGCCTCTTCAAAACGCCAGTCTGGCACCCGCGCTACCGGCATTCAAACGTATTTCTGGGTGCGGGCCTCGCAGCCTTCACAGTACGGTAGTGCCCACACCGTCTGGATCGTTCATTTTCAGGATCACATCGCCATGCAGGTCAGCAAATCGAACAAGCTCGCCAACGTCTGCTACGACATTCGCGGCCCAGTGCTCAAGCACGCCAAACGCCTGGAAGAGGAAGGCCATCGCATCCTCAAGCTGAACATTGGCAACCCGGCGCCGTTTGGTTTCGAAGCGCCGGACGAAATCCTCCAAGACGTGATCCGCAACCTGCCCACCGCCCAAGGCTACAGCGACTCCAAAGGCCTGTTCAGCGCGCGCAAGGCGGTGATGCAGTACTACCAGCAGAAGCAGGTGGAAGGCGTTGGCATCGAGGACATCTACCTGGGCAACGGCGTGTCCGAGCTGATCGTGATGTCCATGCAGGCCTTGCTCAACAACGGCGACGAAGTGCTGGTACCTGCGCCTGATTACCCATTGTGGACCGCCGCCGTGACCCTGGCCGGCGGCCACCCCGTTCACTACCTGTGTGACGAAGGCGCCGACTGGTTTCCGGACCTGGCCGACATCAAGGCCAAGATCACCCCGAACACCAAGGCGCTGGTGATCATCAACCCGAACAACCCTACCGGCGCGGTGTATTCCAAGGAAGTGCTGCTGGGCATGCTCGAACTGGCGCGCCAGCACAACCTGGTGGTGTTCTCCGACGAAATCTACGACAAGATCCTGTACGACGATGCCGTACATGTGTGCACCGCCTCCCTGGCGCCGGACCTGTTGTGCTTGACCTTCAACGGCCTGTCCAAGTCCTACCGCGTGGCGGGTTTCCGCTCCGGTTGGATCGCCATCTCCGGCCCCAAGCACAACGCCCAGAGCTACATTGAAGGCATCGACATACTGGCCAATATGCGCCTGTGTGCCAACGTACCGAGCCAGCATGCGATCCAGACCGCCCTGGGCGGCTATCAAAGCATCAACGACCTGGTGCTGCCACAAGGCCGGCTGCTGGAACAGCGCAACCGCACCTGGGAGCTGCTCAACGCCATCCCCGGCGTCAGTTGCGTCAAACCCATGGGCGCGCTGTACGCCTTCCCACGGATCGATCCGAAAGTCTGCCCGATTCTCAACGACGAGAAATTCGTGCTCGACCTGCTGCTATCGGAAAAACTGCTGGTCGTACAGGGCACGGCATTCAACTGGCCATGGCCGGATCACTTCCGCGTCGTCACCTTGCCGCGCGTGGATGACTTGGAGATGGCCATCGGTCGTATCGGCAACTTCCTGAAGTCTTATCGCCAGTAGTGAAACGTAGCTGTACGGCCGAGATCCGGTCGTACAGCGAGCATCTGGCAACACTTCTATTCCGCCACCCTCCCTACTTACTACGTTAACCTCTCATTTGCCCCCATCCCCCTATAATCATGGGGAAATACGGCAACTAAGGACAGATATCGAGCGGTGTTTCATGTGGGAAAATCCCTTCAAGGCTCTACATTCATGCTGTAGGACACAGTTTGAAATAGTCGCTCGGTTGAATAGCCCCATGGCGCACCTTATATACCCCGCAGTACGCAACATATTAAGCATGAGGAGAACTCTACAACCATGATGCGCATCCTGCTGTTTTTGGCCACTAACCTGGCGGTCGTGCTGATTGCCAGTGTCACCCTGAGCCTTTTTGGCTTCAATGGGTTCATGGCGGCCAATGGGGTTGACCTGAACCTCAATCAGCTGCTGATTTTCTGTGCGGTCTTTGGTTTTGCCGGCTCGCTCTTCTCGCTGTTCATCTCCAAGTGGATGGCGAAGATGAGTACCAGCACCCAGGTCATCACTCAGCCCCGTACCCGCCACGAACAATGGTTACTGCAAACCGTTGAACAGCTGTCCCGCGAGGCGGGCATCAAGATGCCTGAAGTCGGAATTTTCCCGGCCTATGAAGCCAACGCCTTCGCGACCGGCTGGAACAAGAACGACGCGCTCGTTGCCGTGAGTCAGGGCATGCTCGAACGCTTCTCGTACGATGAAGTGAAGGCCGTGCTGGCCCACGAGATCGGCCACGTGGCCAACGGTGACATGGTCACCCTCGCACTGGTCCAGGGCGTGGTGAACACCTTCGTGATGTTCTTCGCACGGATCATCGGTAACTTCGTCGACAAGGTGATCTTCAAGAACGAAGAAGGCCGTGGCATTGCCTACTTCGTGGCGACCATCTTCGCGGAAGTGGTACTCGGCTTCCTGGCCAGCGCCATCGTGATGTGGTTCTCGCGCAAACGCGAATTCCGCGCGGACGAAGCCGGTGCACGCCTGGCCGGCACCGGGGCGATGATCGCAGCGCTGCAACACCTGCGCTCCGAACAGGGCCTGCCGGTGCATATGCCGGACAGCCTGACCGCCTTCGGCATCAACGGCGGCATCAAACAGGGCCTGGCTCGCATGTTTATGAGCCACCCACCGCTGGAAGAGCGCATCGACGCCTTGCGTCGTCGCGGCTGACGGCAACCGGCAATACCGAAAAGGGGCGATCTGATCGCCCCTTTTTAGTGGGCGCGATTTACACCCTGGTCAGTCGGTATGCGCGTTCGTCCAGGCGCGGCACGCCGTCCTGCACGAATTTCCAGCTCTCGCCCAGAATGTCTTGCTCCTCCAGCACTTGCAGCGTCCAGTGCGATGCGAGCAACACCCTCACCTCATCCTGCGTGACCGCAAAGGGCGGACCGGCTTTCAGCGCCTGGTCGTAATCCAAGGTGATCAACAGGCCCTCACAGCCCGCACGCAGGCAACGATTCAAGTGCGCTGCATAACGTGCCCGCATCAACGGCGGCAAAGCGATCAACGCGGCACGGTCATACAACGCAGCGCAGTCGGCCAACACCTCGGCGTCCAATGCAAAGAAGTCACCGCACCACACCTCGATCAACCCAGCCTGATACACCGTGAACGCACCATGCTGATGAATTCGCGGGTGCAGCCCCTGCTCACTGAAGAACGTCTGCACAGCCTGTTCCGATAGCTCCACCCCAAGCACCCGATGCCCCAGACTGGCCAGCCATATCAGGTCCAGGCTCTTGCCGCACAGCGGCACCAACACCTGAGCACCGTGAGCCAGGGCCAGTGAGGGCCAATGCCGCAGCAAATAAGGATTGATGTCGGACTGATGAAAGCCGATCTGGTTGGTCGCCCAACGGTCATGCCAAAACTCAGGTTCCATGGATCACCCCAAAAATTCGATCAAATACTGCTAAAACTTATATTAGATTTAGATCAATGATCTGATTGAAGATGGGCCCATGTTAACGCTCAGGACCCTTCAAATGCTCCCTAGCTTGTTTATCTCCCATGGCTCGCCCATGCTGGCCCTGCAACCTGGCGCCAGCGGTCCTGCCCTGCAGCGCCTCGCCGCGCAATTGCCCAGACCGAAGGCCATTGTAGTTGTGTCGGCCCACTGGGAAAGCGAGGAATTACTGGTCAGCGGCAGTGCCGCCCGCAAACCTGGCACGACTTCGGCGGTTTTCCCCGCGAGCTGTTCGCCGTGCAGTACCCGGCGCCAGGGGACCCGCAGTTGGCCAGCGAAGTTGTCGCATTGCTCCACGCCGACGGCTTGAATGCGAGAGTCGATGAGCGCCGCCCTTTTGATCATGGCACTTGGGTGCCGCTCTCGCTGATGTACCCGGCAGCCGACATTCCCGTGGTGCAAGTTTCCCTGCCCAGCCGTATGGGCCCTGCCCTGCAAACTCGCATTGGCCACGCCCTTGCGGGCCTGCGCAGCCAAGGCGTGTTGCTGATCGGTTCCGGCAGCATCACCCATAACCTGGGTGAACTGGACTGGCACGCGGGACCGGAGAGCATCGAGCCCTGGGCGCGGGAGTTCCGCGATTGGGTGGTGGATAAACTGGCGGCCAATGATGAAGCGGCCCTGCATGACTACCGTCGCCAGGCGCCCTATGCCGTGCGCAGCCATCCGAGCGACGAACACCTGTTACCGTTGTTCTTCGCGCGTGGCGCCGGCGGCACGTTCGGTGTGGCGCACCAAGGCTTCACGATGGGCGCGCTCGGCATGGACATCTACCGATTCGACTAACCGTAAAGTCAGGCAAAAAAAAATCCCCGAACCAGTCGGGGATTTTTTATTTTCGATCAATCAGCCCAAGGGCCGATCAATCTTCGCGGTAGCGACGCAGCTTCAGCTGCTTACCGGCAACGCGAGTGTCTTTCAGCTTGGCCAGCAGTTTTTCCAGACCGTCTTCCGGCAGCTCCACCAGGGAGAAGCTGTCACGGACCTGAATGCGACCGATAGCCTCACGCGCCAGGCCACCCTCGTTGAGGATAGCGCCCAGCAGGTTCTTGGCAGCGATACCGTCACGCGCACCCAGCGCGGTACGGCAACGGGCACGGCCTTCGGCCAATGGCACCGGAGCGCGACGCTCACGATCACCACGGTCCGGACGGTCGCCGGAACGCTCTGGACGATCACCGCGCGGGGCGCTGTTCGGAACCAGTGGGCGTTCTTTCTCGATGGCGGCCAGGGTCAGGGCCTGACCGTTGGTGGCCTTGCGCAGCAGTGCGGCGGCCAGAGCACGCGGGGTGCAACCGATATCGGCGGTCAGGCGGTCCAGCAAGTCGCCGTGGGTCGATTCAGCGTCAGCCACCAGGGGTGCCAGGCTGTTGGTCAGTTTCTTGATGCGGGCATCGAGAACGGCCTGGGCATCCGGCAGGCGGACTTCGGCCACCTTCTGACCGGTCACACGCTCGATCACTTGCAGCATGCGGCGCTCACGCGGCGTCACCAGCAGCAAGGCACGACCTTCGCGACCGGCACGGCCGGTACGGCCGATACGGTGAACGTAGGATTCCGGATCGTACGGCATGTCAACGTTGAACACGTGGGTGATACGTGGAACGTCGAGGCCGCGAGCAGCAACGTCGGTCGCCACAACGATGTCCAGACGGCCATCCTTGAGGGAGTCGATCACGCGCTCACGTTGGTTCTGGGCGATGTCACCGTTCAGCGCAGCGGCCTTGTAGCCTTTGGCTTCCAGGGCACTGGCCAGATCCAGGGTCGCTTGCTTGGTACGCACGAACATGATCAGGGCGTCGAAGTCTTCGACTTCCAGCAGGCTCAATACAGCCGAGGTCTTCTGGTCAGCGTGAACCAACAGGTGAGCCTGTTCGATCGCGGTAACGGTCTGAGTCTTGGTCTGGATCTTCACGTGCTCCGGATCGCGCAGGTGGCGTTCGGCAATGGCACGGATCGACTGAGGCAGCGTGGCCGAGAACAGTACGGTCTGACGGGTGGCTGGCAGAGCCTTGAAGATGACTTCCAGATCGTCCATGAAGCCCAGCTTCAACATTTCGTCAGCTTCGTCGAGAACCAAGTGGTTCACGGTCGACAGGACTTTCTCGTCACGACGCAGGTGGTCGCACAGACGGCCCGGGGTGGCGACAACGATCTGTGCGCCATTACGGATGGCTTTCAGTTGTGGGCCCATCGGCGCGCCGCCGTAAACGGCCACAACGGTTACACCAGGCATTTGCTTGGCGTAGGTTTCAAAAGCGGTTGCTACTTGCAGCGCCAACTCACGGGTTGGCGCCAGGATCAGGGCTTGCGGTTCGCGCTTGGCAGGATCGATGCAATGCAGGATAGGCAGGGCAAACGCGGCGGTTTTACCGGTACCGGTTTGCGCCTGGCCAATCATGTCCTTACCGGCCATGATGATTGGGATCGATTGCTGCTGAATAGCCGAAGGTTCTTCGTAGCCGGTCGCTGCGACGGCTGCAAGAATGTTCGGATTAAGATTAAAAGCGGCGAAGCCGCCGGTTTCCTGGGTCATGGGTCTGCCTCTGAGTGCATCCGCAAAGACCCATGCTCCAAAGCTGCGCATGCCGTGTTGAGACTCAAGAGTCGCCCTGGCTGCTTTGTCGGCGGGGATTTGCGAAAACGAATGAATGAAAAAGATTCGTCAAGGGAGAGTCCGCTGTGCGGACGTGCAGCCGAAGCTGACTTCGGGGAATTGCGCTACCTAAACGCGGCCCGGTTAAAGGCCGGCGCGCACTATACCGGAAATAGCCGAAAAAGGGAGCTTTTTTTATCGGCGGCCGCCGATAAACGCGCGGCTGCAACGCTTTTAAAAACCAAATCGATCGGGTTTGTTTTTACAAAGGCCCGGCCCCGCTGGCTAACGCGCTTAAACGTTTCACTTAACTTTTAAGACCCTTTGGTTTGAAACCTGCCCGTTACCGGACGAATCCAGCAAGAGAATGATCCCCCACCGGGGCTACCTTCCCCCACAAGAGCGCGGACGGGCGCGCTCAGCCTACTAAGTGGCCGACCTAATCGCCTTGATCAGTGGCTGCAACGAATAGCCCAGTTGCGCTGCCAGTGCTTCGGCACGAGCCGAAAGTGCGTGCAGGTCGAGCTCTTGATCCAACTCCGACGGCACCAACAGGATGACGTTGCCCTCCTTCACCGGCAATTCCCAGTAATGCCGGTGATACAAACCGCGCAGCAACGCCGCGCCCAACGGTTTGCCATCGTCGGTGGCCCACTGGTTGATTACCAGCCAGCCGCCAGGGTTGAGTTTCTTCTGGCAGTTCTCCAGGAAAGCCCAGGCCAGGTGCCCGACGCCGGGGCCCACATCGGTATACAGGTCGACGAACACCAGATCGGCCGGTTCGGCGCTTTCCAGCAACTCCAGGGCATCGCCGATGCGGATATACAGGCGCGGATCGTCGTCCAAGCCCATGTATTCGATGGCCAGGCGCGGCACGTCGGGGCGCAGTTCGATGGCTTCGACATCCTCCAATGGCAGGAACTTGAGGCATGCCTGGGTCAGCGTACCGGCGCCCAGGCCAAGGAACAGCGCGCTCTCGGGCTGCTCGTGGCACAACGCGCCGATCAGCATGGCGCGGGTGTAGTCGTACTCCAGCCAGCTCGGGTCGGCGGTAAACACACAGCTTTGCTCGATGGCATCGCCGAATTCGAGAAACCGGTAGTCGGCCACTTCGAGCACTCGGATCATGCCGAAGTCATCATGGACCTCGGCCAGCACGCGCTCGACACGCTCCTCTGTCATCACTGCTCCTAAAGGGTTTACCGCTGGGCAAAGGCGCGATTGTCGGCCAACCGGCGGCAACAGGTCACGCACTAATTGCTGATAACATTGGCGCCCGACCGTCAATCAGCCAATCGAGTTCAAGATGAGCCAACCGTGGAGCCCCGAGAGCTGGCGCGCCCTGCCGATCCAGCAACAACCCCAGTACCCGGATGCAGCGCACCTGTTGCAAGTGGAGCAAAGCCTGGCCAGCTATCCGCCGCTGGTGTTCGCCGGGAAGCCCGCGAGTTGCGCCGTCAGTTTGCCGAAGTGACCCAAGGCCGCGCCTTCCTGTTGCAGGGCGGTGACTGCGCCGAAAGTTTTGCCGAGTTCTCCGCCGCGAAAATCCGCGACACCTTCAAGGTGCTGCTGCAGATGGC